CATTCACAGATAAGCATATAAGCTATATCCATACTTCACAAAGATAAGCATATGAGCTCTATCTTCACTTCTCTAGACAAGCATATGAGCTCTGTCTACGGAGTTCATCCCCTATCTCCTCCCAAACAATATGCATATGCAATGCTCAATCAATACATGTAATTTCTGTATTAATTCAATAGTCTAAATTTATGACTTAACAAATTGATTAGTTTCAATTTTTTCCTAATCCGCATGCAATATCTACAACAAGCACGTCTATCCTCCACCGATAGCCCAAAACAATTATTTCTAGACTTGAAAAATAAATACACTATCAATTCATTAGGCGAGTGATTTATATTATCCAACTACACCATTTAATCAATAAATTCCTCAATTTCATGGATTTAACCAAATTTCCCAATTTCCTTAAATTAATTATACAAATTAATTAATTAACACAACTAGGGTTTCTCCCAAAACTATCAAAGTATTCCCAACATATCAAAATACCAAAACTTAGGACAAAACTTATAGAATGGAGTAGGAAATCCCTACCTTGAAGATCACAACTGAAATAGAGAAGATGGAGATGGTGACCCAAAATCCAAAGTGCTCCGAATCCTCTCTTTTTCAGATTAAAAGAAAGCTCTCGCGAAGCTCTACCTTTCTTCCAAAGGAACTAGGGTAGAAGACCACCGGAAATAGATCAAATCTTGGAGAGAAGGTAAGAGTAGAGAGAGAGACTCTCAAGGGGCGGGTTTTTAAAAGTTATGAAGGAAAAGTAGGTCAAAAAGTGATCCAAAAAGTGAAATCACGGACTGATATAATCGACTTTACGCTCGAGCGTAGAAAGCCCCGCTCGAGCGTAAGACACAGAATCATGCTCGAGCGTGAAGAAAGCCGCTCGAGCGTCGATTGCACCCTTCCAGAAGTTTTGCAGGCGCTGCACCCGCTCGAGTGTCAAACTCCCCGCTCGAGCGGAGGAGCAAAAACAAGGGATCACGCTCGAGCGTAAAAACTACCGCTCGAGCGGAAGAACTGCAGAGCAAAATACTGGGAGATGGAAAATCCCGCTCGAGCGTCAAAACTCCCGCTCGAGCGGAGAAGCAACAACGAAGGGCCCGCTCGAGCGTTAAAACCTCCGCTCGAGCGTGAAGGCCAAAATCTGGGCATCACCTATTGGCATCAAAATTCAACCAACCTGTACCAGACCCGTCCAACACAACCTATACTTCAAATACAAAGAGATTAAAGGATAACAACAACCAAGAAATAATGACAGGATCTACGGAGCCTAAGTCCGGATACAATAATCTAAAGAGAAAAGACCGGGGTCGCTATAACTAGATCGCTATTAAGCATCATCACTAATCGAATTACTAACTACAATACCCTATCAACTTTAATTCTAAAGTAACTAGTCTACAGATTCATAACCTAATGCTCTGATACCAAACATGTAACGACCCAATCTTGGCAAGGCAAAACCCTGCCAAGAGGGTGCACCTCAAACGCTATAGCACCTTTACACCACAATTCCTGTATAATTCATACATCACATCACCACATCACCAAAAGTGCATAAGACCTTTCAATTGCCTAACATATATGAGATGATCTATTCAAAGACAAAAAGTATTATCATGCTACAAGATAGTTCCCAAGCATTTCCTCCCAAAAAAATATAATACATACTAATCACGAATCCATCAATACATCCAACTTCATAAGCAATATTTACAATCAACCTCCTTCATAAAAAAAAGGTAAGCTTACATCCTAGAATGACCCTAAGCAAAACCTCAACCACAAGATGCCCACCTGTGATCCTTCAAAAAAATTTCTAGTCTTCCAAGTTGAGGCGAGCCACACAAAAGTCTATGAATCTGAAAAAAAAATTATTTCAAAGAATGAGCTAAAGCCCAATGAGTATACCAATACCATGGAGTTATAAAACTTGCTCCTACCAATAGTGTTCAAAATAAAGATACTAAACATAAGAGCTTAATTGGACTTCAATTTATACAAAATAAAAATAAAAATGATGCAATACAATTTTCATAAAACGTTATCAAGATTTTTCCAAGGAATCTCATAAGGCAGAAAAAAAAACATACATTTGGATAATGAAAGTAAACAAAAATATAACTTTTCAATACATTAAGATTTCCTGTCCATCATACAATCCACTACATAGCCTTAGGGTCGCGTTACCTCGCGACTTAGGTGGTGACGGTACCGTTACCCAGAACATAACCATAGGAGCATAGCTCATGTCATCGTAGCACTTCAATTCTTGTTTCAATGTTTCGGTCCCCAGGACCCCTTATACATACAACGACCCTTATGGTCCTTAAAACATTTCGGTCCCCAGGACCCCAAAGCATTTTGGCCCTTGTGGCCCCAAAGGCTATATTCGGTTATATGATCAATAAAATAAATACCCTCACATAACATTTCACTGTCATTCAATCATCATCATCATAAAATTTGAAAGACTTAACTTAAATAAATTCTCATAAAAAAAAATTAATGCTTCATTATACAAATGAAATCATATCTTTATTAAAACTCAACCCTTAGCCTCAATAAATTTATAGATTTTCTTTTTATACATATATCATGATGAAATGTATCATTCATTTCCTTTAATTCAAAAAATTATTTTCAAACTTTGTAATAACGATAGAGGTAAGGTAATTTCCATGGTAAGTATACTCACCTCCAAATTAGCAAAAGCATAGATTGAAACTCTACGAATTAATTCCCAAGAGGTGTAGAGACGCCTCCCTCCAATCCAAACAATTGGTAAATAGGATCTAAAATTAAGGAAAAGCTTTCAATGAAAATTACAACATCTACAAAAATGATCCTAAATAAAATTATGCTAAGGAATGGCAAGCTAAAGAACTCCTCCAACTTTAAATCACCCAAACAAATAACTTATCCAATCTCCATAACACCCATCCTTTGAACATCTTTGAGTTAGTAACTTTTTAAATATCCAATCAATTTATATGCACAATACCACCATCAATTTACTACAAAAATCAAAAATCAACATTTTTGTATAAACTCAACAACTTAAGTAAAATCTCTTCAATCACTTATAAAATTCCTCCATAGAACATAGAGATACCCAATCCACCATTTATCAAATCAATTTCAACATATAAATTCCCTAACACCAAAATCCCCAATTTTTACATCACATTCAAACCCTAGATTAACCCAAAATCTAAGCTCAAAATGGTATAAAATTCAACAATCAAACCCCAAATCATAATAGATCTAAAACACAAAAATTTCATCATGTCTAACTCAAAATATGTAAAACCTTAAACTAAACTTTTAGAGAAAAATTCTTACCAATTAGAAGCCTCTAATCCATCAATAAAGTAAACCCCATGCTTTGATTCTTCAAAAGATTAAGAAAAATCTAGAGTTGGTGCTTCTATTGTGTTATTTTCGGATGGATCTAAGGAGTGGCCGACCGGACCCTTTTTCCGGCGAGATAAGGTGGCCGGAGGTGGTGGAGATGGTGGGTTGAGGTGGTGGTGTAAGGGTGGAGCAAAGGTGTGGTGTTTGTCCTCCAAGAAAGTAAAGGAAAATGAGAGAGAAAGTAGAGAGAAGTTAGAGAATGAAGAATGAAGACAATGAAGAAAAAAAATCTGCACTTCTATTTTTTTTTGTGTTGAAATGGGGTGTTTGGTCACACCTACCATCAAGTTTGGAGTTCGGTTTAGATATCCTAAATGGAGTTTAACATAAGAGTGTGTTTGGCTCTAGATGAAAAGTTGGGAATGTTATATCCCTTTCTTTCTTTTTACACTCCTCACTACACATGGCCTCATCTTGTCCTCTCACTTTCTTTCCGGACCTCAATGATCCAAGCTCTCCTGGACTAAGTGTCCCTGCTCCCACTTTTCCTAACCTCCCTGGACTGAGTGCCTCTACTCCTACCCTTCTTAACTTTCCCATGATGTCAGTTGAGCAAATCATGGCTGCTCAATTTGACATTGAGGCAAACCACTTCACACTGGGATCTTGCATGGAGACAGTGACTGCGGTCACCAAGTTGTCTCACTGGCTACAGAATAGGACCAATGAGGTACAACAGTTAAATGCCCAACTTTCTCTGCTCTAGCGGATGTACAAAGATGCGCAAGCACAGATTTGCACACTAAAGGTGAAGAATAAGGAGTTAAAACGGAAGACCACCGTCATGACCTGATTCGAAGCACTTTCATACTTCATCTTTGACAACCAGCAAGGAGTTAACTCTCTCGGCGGTCCTGTACACACTGAGGCAGAGCCTTCAAGGGTCTCCCGAGACGACAAAAAAAAGAAGAGCTCGGCGGGAGAGTCGAGTAAGTGAAGTCGGCATGTGGCTGTTGTAAAAAACAAGATCTGTTTTTTTTTTTTTTACACATCAATGGCGTAACTAGCATAACACTTTGAGCTGGAAAACAATTTTGTTTGACTAAACATGAGAATGATTAAATTTTGAACTATGAACTAGACATTGATTCCATACTGACCTGAATCAAAATCATGGCCTAACGAAAGAAAAATGAAGCAAAACAATCCAAATGCACTCATATACACTGACTGGTATTAACGAAAGAAAAACCGTGTAAATCAATATATTGGCAATAAAATTACAGAGCAAGAAGGTACTTCTCACAACCAAAGGTGTTGGCACTAACTTTGGCGTGGTAATAGCATACACACGCCCAGTAGGTCTTTGATTTACCTGTTCCCCTCCTCCTGCGCCGGAATCTCATCCGGTATTGGCATCTCGTGCCTCCTGGGCCTACCATGCCTACCACTCCCCCGTACACGTCCTAACATCCTAATAAAGGTAACACTCGAGATTGGCACAGTCACAATTCTACCGAAGCTAACTCACTCACGTCCTAAGGCAATGGACAACAGTTAATTCATTCCACATAAGAACATAGTCACATAAACACATACAGATTTTCTTTCTAGATAATGATTGTCCCATGACATTGCTAGAGTTCCAATCAGAAATAGCGGTGATCAAGTGCTCTTCTGACTAGACTTCTAGGAACTCACAGACCCAACCAATATCTCCGAAATCAAACCCCATACCCATATAATCACATAAACATGTTATCACATAGCACCTCATCATATAGATATCTCTATCAAAGGAGATAAACCCACTGTGGTACTAACCACACCCCACGTACCCAAAGTATTCGAACCTAGTAAGCTTGGATACCAAGTTATAACGCCTTAATTTTCATACCCAAATGGTATATAATAGTCATGGCCCTTTAAAGTAAAACTGATAATAAATCCTCATGCTTACATTACATGATGTAAATAGTCTTCATACGATAATACGATTTATCCAACGACAATTAATTAAACAACAAATACCCCCAAGGGTTTACAAATTTCCAGCGCTTGAGCCTGGTTGCACCAAACGATTATTCAAATCCACACACATATAGCCCTTGGCTTACACACCGAGTCACAGCAAAATGAGAGCCTCGTACACTCAACACACATTTCCTCGCCTTTAGTTAGGCGGCATCACCACATCTTTTCTTGCACAATAATCGCGTAGGGTGAGCATAAAGCCCAGTAGGAAATCCTTAACAAAGTATACACATTCTATACAAATCTCAAGAGATGGAATGCACATGCCATGCTGTGATGACCTGTTTTTTTTTTCTCCTTTCTTGTTCTTTCTTCGCTTCGTTTTCTTTTATCCTCGTCGGATTTGAAATGTTCGGGAATGATTCTTTAGTTGTATTTTTCTCGGTGTTGAATTCCGATTGTTCTGGAGGGTACGCGGGGGAATCTAGGGTGCTGGGAGCGAAGTTGAATTTTTGGGTGGCTGGGCTTGGGTCGCACGTGCGGGGCTGGGCCGCTCGAGCGGTGGGCTAGGCCGCTCGAGCGGTGGAGGTTGACACCCAAAAATTTTTATTCTAAAATGGGCCGTACGAGCGGCCAACTGGGCAATCCGAGTTCTGTTTTTATATAACATTTTGGTCCAAATATATATCACTTCTAACCATTTTTCTCTCATTCTAAACCTAATTTCTCTCTTCCTTCTCTCTAGAAAACACCTCAATCACCCAAAACTCTTTGATTCTTGTGATTCTTGGAGCAAGATCATCATCACCTCTCTCAAATTTTGAAGATCCAAAGCTAGGGCCTCACTTGGGTGGTAGAGATCCGAAAATTTCTCCCATCTTTGAGGCTAGGGTTTCATCTCTCCTTTCATCAACAAGCTTGAGGTAGGGATTTCTTGAGTTATATATACTAGTTTTACTATTTGTTGTTGATTTAAAAGGAATCTTGAAGTTTTGTGTTGATTTCTTTGATTTTGATTCAAAATGAAGAGGGCTTTGAAAGTGGGTTTATATCTCAACCTTTTTTCTATTTTCTTGAGGGTTTTCTTCTATTAGACTCATTAAATATGGTGTGATGGAGTTTCTCTTAGAAAATGATGATAGTTTGTTAATGATGAAAACCCTAGAAATTGGGGATTTTTGGTAAAATGGAAAATGTCTTTGAAGTTACTTATTTTCTTGTGTTAAAAAGATAAATGAGAGGTGCTTCATCAATGTTTAACAAGATAGCATTTTTTTCTTGATGTATGAGAAGGAGATGCTATTTAAATATTATTGCTAATACTTGAATAAGCAAGCTTGTGTGTGATAAATTGTTGGATATCATAAATGGTGGGGAAACTTGTAAACATTGGGAATTTATATTTGAAATATGTCATTTGTAGCCATGGATGAGAATATTTGTAGGACATGTGAAAAGAGGAATTGTTGGGTAACATGTCGATGACACATTGTTAATTTTGTGGATGAATATTACTAAAGGAGGCAATTCTGATGACACGGTGAATGTTAGGCATTGTTGTAGAAAATATTCAACATTGGAGAAATTGTATGAGGGCTTATGAAAAGATCTTTGCCATTACATGTCTATCTATTATCATTGTGCATCTGTGAATTCCTAAATCAAAGAGACTTAACATCATAAAAGAACAACAGATATACTATGAATGGTAACTTATGAAAGTGTTATATGGATCAAATACGATGACGGCTCGCGGTGGTAAGTCCGGAAGGGGTCTGTAGTGAAACTTGTTTAAGCTGCCTGAGCTTCCTTGGAGAAAGACCACTAGAAGCCGGCACCGCTCGGTATGAAGACAGCGTCTTGGATCAGAACCTATCGGTAAAGGTACCGTAAAAAGATGACAGTTTGGTAGTACTCGTAGAGTCTACTTGCAGACACCAGTCTAAGGATTACCAGTGTCGTATTTACCACCCCTATTGATTAAAATTGGAAGTTTGAAATGTGTTGAGATGGCAAACTTTTATTGGAAAAATTGAGATCTTCGAAGAAGAGCATGAAATGAATATATATTTTTTTTTTTAAAGAGCATGGCATAACATTGATATTTGCATTTCATTGAGAATGGCATAACTGTATATACTTTGTTAGAATTCTCTATTGGGCTTTATGCTCACCCCTATGGGACTTTGGTGCAGGTAATGACGTGGTGATCTCGCCAAGCTGAGGGCGCGGATAATTGTAAAGAGTACATAGCTCTTACTTTTGTTGTGATCTTTTTGTAAGCCAAGGGCTAATGTGTATGGGTCCGAGGGACCATTTTGTGTAACCAGGCTATTGCCTTGGAACTTGTAAGCCCTTGAGGGCCTTATTCGTTTTGATTTTTTGATGATTTTACATGCTATAGATTCATGTACTAGTTTATCAATGAATGTATAACCGCATGTGAGATTATTTTTGAA